ACTTACACCCCAGCAACTTCGGGGAAAGCCAGCTCCACTGTGCTCTAGGGATGGCCTAAGCCAGTCCCACCTCAGCCACAGCGACTGGTTCAGGCAGGGGCACGTGACCAGGCTTGCTGGGGAGTTCTGGGAAAGGAGTTCTGAGGAAATGCGTAGGCAGGAAGTTGTTGGCAAATATCTTGCGACCACGAGGAGAAGCCAGTCGCGGGATGAAGGTGACTGGAAGAGAGATGGAGGGGGAAAGAAACTTCTTAATGATGACATCATTGAGCTTCCAGCTCCTCCAGCGTAGTGGATAGAGAACATCTGTACTGTGAGGAAAGGAACCAGGTGAAAACTACATAGTCTGTAGGGATGAAGTGGTACATTTCCAGAAATCTATTTCACTATACATATGAAGAGTCTTAAAAATGATCCATTCCCTTGAACTTGGGGATGTTTCTCTCAGGAGTAAGAGAAGCTCCTTACTCCTGATTCATGCACAAAGATGCTAATCCTGGTCTTATGTATAATACGGGGGGAAAAGAACTAAATTAGCCTGAAACCCTAACAGTAGGAGAATGATTCAATAATTAATTAAATCCATTGAATGAGACTTTAGAAATGAATGCACTACAACCCAAGTTTATTCAGAGTCACCATCATTAATGATTTAACTTTGTATTTTTAACACATTTTTCAAGCTGTGCTTGAACTGTGGTTGCTAGATTAGTTATTAAAACGAAGAGCAGTTGTTAAAGGGCTGTCTTCCTAATAAAAATATATAATGGAAAAAAATAAGTTGTACACACACAAAAAATCAATGCTGCCACTAAAAACCCTTTGTGAGTAATTTTTAACAGGAAATGTTTGTGGTATAACTTGCAGTTTACAAAAGGCAGAACAAACCAAACTGTAAAAGGTGGTGGGATCATGGGGTGATTTCAGTTTTCTTTGTTTTTTCTGAATTTCCCCCAATTTTCTACAATGAGCAGGAAATACCTTCATCATCAGGAAATAAATATTTTTAAAAGACAAGAGAAGGCAGTGGTTTCAGCAGGTCAAAAACAGAAAAAGGATCCTTATTATTTGTGGAAAAAATAACATCTTCAAGTTCTCTTATAAAGGTGGGCAGGTGACCAGAGCCATTGCATAAAAACCATTCAGAGGACTATGCCCATTCCTTGGTCTCCTTTTGAAGGGAAGTGTAGTCATCTTTGGTCATCATTTATTTCATTCATGAAAGATTTCATGGATAAAGCAGGAAAAAGAGCCTCCTCTCCTCTCCTCCCTCTCCCCTTCCTTCCCTCCCCTGTCCTGATAACTTCATAGAAATACTGATGCTGATAGAAAACGTTAGCACAAAAAGCTAATTATTCCTTACATTTGTATGTTGCTTTGCTACCTTTCTTAACATTTTCAGATTCATTTCTGTTTGAACCTCAAAAATGAGCGCTATCAGCCCATTTCACAAATAAGAACACTGAGGTCCAGATAACTTCACTGTGGGCAGACCAGCAACCAAAGTCCCATCTCCTCATTCCAAAGGTCAAGCAAATAAAACCAGGACCTTTATGCAGATTGTCCCACTGCTAAAGGAGTTAGGGGTCCTCCATTGCCCCACTCTTGCAAATGTACAGCCCCAAAGCATAGCAAGTCACAGCCAGTGGAGAGCATTCACAAAGCAGATGGTCTACAGGGAGCCTACAGTCTACTTGGGGAGTCACGGCAACACACAGGAAATTATCAGAAAATGAGAGAAAATTGTCCAAGGTCAGCTCCGCTGCTGATCCATCCAGTGTCACCATGCTCTCATCAACCACTGCCAGACATCAGTCTGCAACGTGACATCCACCATATAGGGTGGGCTTTCCAGAGACACATTGGGCGGGGGGCGGGGTGGTAATTCGGGGACCACCTGTGTGAGTCAGCGCCAAATTCTCAAGTGTAGGCAGGAACCAAGTACAAACATCCTGAGCGGGGCAGCAAGCGTTAGCAATGTTTCGTGTCCCTCAGTTGTTTACAGACGTTTCTTGGGGGTATCGGAGGGACATGGTACAAGGCGTGTAAGCTGGTCAAGGTTTATGAACAAAAAGGGCAGGTCTGAACCAAGGGCAGCCCAGAGGTTTTTGCTTTGTTTGCTTCCTAGGTCGTGGCTCAGAATGCTGTTTGCCCGTGCCCCAACCTGCCAGACACAGCCGTCCTCCATCCCAGCCTATTTCAGGGTCCACTAACGTGTACCAAATGCCTGAACACGTGTAATCTCATTCACTCCTCACAGCAGCCCTGTGAGTAAGCAGCGCCGCCCCCTGCTTTGCAGATCTGGAGATTCCTGCTCCGAGGCACCTGGATTCCCAGCCAGGTCTTCTAACTCTGAATCCAGTGCTCTTTCCACGCTACTCTTTTCTTGAATCTCCAGATAGGTTTCCCCCCCATTTTCAAGTAGAAGATTATTCCTTATGCACAACAAATAATGCAAAGTGAGCATTCATGTTCAGACTTAGTTTTAATTTAATAGACCAGTGAAATTGATGTGACCTGTTAGTCACACCTGATAGTCACGATTATTCTTGGGCTTCATGGCAATTAAGCATAAATAAATGGTTCTTCCACTATCAAATTGAAAAGTAATAAAGATGCACCGTTGTGTTCCAGGCATTGTGATTGGTGCCATGGATGTCAGGATAAAGGTCCAGAAGAGCCTGCACACTGTTGAGGACTTGCTATATGCCAGGCACTGTGCTGAGGACTTTCCAGGCCTTAATTTATCTTATCCTCATAGGAGTCATGGCAGGTGGTATTTTCCAAAGATGACTTGACAGTATCACCATGCAACTTCCTAATCAAATGATGGGAGCCCACCAGGGTCACCTTACCCTTACTGGGAAGTGGTAGGAAGTCAGGGAAGGCTTCCTGGAGGAGGAGGGCCCACCTCAACCACACACACTGAAGGATAAAGAGGTGTTAACCAGCCGTCAGTGAGTGGAGAAGGGAGTTCAGACAAACACTCAGAAGCGTGATATAGCAGAGGGCGTGACGTTCATTCAGGCTTGAGCATGGGGTCCAAAGGAGTGGAAGCTGCTAGATGTGGCTGGAGAGGTGGCAAGACAAGATGGCAAAGGTGGGTGGGCCCCCTCACTCTTTTTTTTTTTTTTTCCCCTCTTTTGAGTGCACCCAGCCCTGCACCCACCAAAGCCCTTCCTCCCCAGGGGGCAGCCCTTCCCGCCAAGAAGTCATCACCCCGTGTAGACACCTCTGTGTACTTGGCCGCAGGTCTGGTCTGTGGAACCTCTTCTTGCGCTCCGGGCCAGCACGCAGCTCTTGTGCTGCCAAGCCTCTCGCTCGGGCTTTTAAGTGATCATGATAAAATGATTAACACAGAGTGGCCACCAGCAGTGATTATTTCCGATCTAAGCTGGGTGGCACGTGGGCCAACGGCAGTCCGAGAAACCCAGCCAAGTCTCAGCTCCAGTGGACTCCGGAAATGCCAGTGGTTCTCAAACTCCGTCATGCATCTGAATCACGTGGGAGGTGGAGGGCCGACCTTGCCAAAACACAGATTGCTGGGCCTCACCCCCAGAGTTCTGATTCAGCAGGTCTGGGGCGGATGGGGGGGTGGGGCTAAGAATTTGCATTTCTCACCAGTTCCGGGGTGATGCTGGTGCTGCTGGGCTGGGGACCATACATTGAAAATCACTGATTTAGAAGATTGCTGGAGAATTGGATGAAGGCCCCTGGAAGGAGGGGAAATTATCCACTGCTGGGTTTTTCTGCTTTCCTGAAGCCTTCACTTCAACAAAGACCCCCTGTCATCTCCATGATGGGTTCCGAAGCCTTGGAAAAGTACAAAAGTGAAGATGTAAATCTGTATGGAAAACGACATGCATCTGGAGCTGTCACAGAGCGCCTGCACGGCTATCACATTGTCACAGGAGCCCCGAGATGCAATTATCTTTGTTTTATAGAGAACGAAATGGAAGGCACCGTGACTATTATCTAAACAGAAAACAGATATTAGAGGCAATTTTTTTTGGTCATGAAAACTTTCAAATGTACACACAAGTAGAGAACATGGCATTACGATTCCTGAAATGCCTCAACTTTGGCAATGATGGTGCTCAACTTGAGTGGTCATCAGAATCACCTGGGACACTTGTCAAAACAGAGATTGCATGATTATCTCCACATTCTAGAATTATCAAGACTTTGCCACATTGACAGTCTTCTGATGACAGGACAGCAGTGGCATCCAATGATGTCATAAGGTAGATTTTTTGTGTTATTTCGAAACATTTGGAGATATATCAAGTTTGGCCACAGGGACACTCTGCTCAGAGAGAACACTGATAACATTTCATTTCTGTAGTCCTGCTTGCTCATTTTAAAAGTAACCCGGAAGGAGTGCAATGTAGCATCTCTGTTTGACAGCTTCTACTAGAAGTAAACCTATGTTCACCTTGTGACCCAGCAAACCCACTCATTAAGTATTTTCCCGGGAGAAATGAGAGCTTCTGTCCACCAAAAAATCTCACCAGAATGTTCACCACAGCTTTATTGGGATTAATCTCGATGCATCTTGTTGAGTGAAAGAAGCCAGACACAGATGAGAATATTCTGTATTATTTCAAGTACATCAAGTCTGAGAAGAGGCAAAACGAATCTATAGTGACAGAAAGAGGGAAGGAGCACGAGGGAACTTTTTTGGGGGTATCGGCCCGGTATTTGTTGCTGTGGGCGGTGGTTACACAGGTGTACATACACATACAGAACAATTAACGGAGCTGAACACGGAAGGTTTGGGCATTTCAGTGTATGTGAGTTATACTTCAATCAAGTACCCTTAGCACATACCCGCGGCCACACCCAAACCAGATCCCAGGAGGCTGAGACCCAGCTGTGCCCTGGCCTCGCCCATCTCGGAAAGGCCACGGCCCAGAGCGTCCGTTTCCCTCCTCCCTCCAGCCCAACTTTCGCACCTCCCAGAGGGCGGGGGCTGCCGCCACCTTTCCGGAGAACGCGGGCCAGGCCCTCCTCCGCGCGTCCGGCGGAGGCTGGGTGGGCGTCCTCAGCGCGGGCCGGGGGCGCGGGCCCCGCCCCACCCTAGGACCCCGCCCCTGCGCCACGCCCCCGAGGCCCCACCCAGCCTCTCCGCTTCTGGCCTTCGGCCTCGGCAGCTGCAGGCTGCCGGCCGGCGAGGGCCGCGCGATGTCGCACGGGCCCGGGCTCGTCCGCACCACGTGCAGCAGCGGCAGCGCCCCGGGAGCCGGGGCCGGCGCGGGGCCGCTGGGCGCGAGCTCTTCAGAGGGGCTGCTGGACCCCGTCTACCCCCGCACCCACGCAGCGCTGCTGAAAGTGGCGCAGATGGTAAGAGAGGCCCGGGCGCGAGCCGGGGTCACACGGGGTGGCCGCGGAGGGGCCGCTCCCGCGGCGGGAGCATCGCGCCCCGGGCGGGGGTCTCGTCGCCCAAGTCAAGTTGGAGGGGGCTTCCTCGGGCGAGTTGCGCGTGCAGCCCCCGCGCTGGAACTCGGCGCACCCGGCAGGCCTGTTCGCGCCGCCCCCGCTCGGAGGTCCCAAGTTTTTCCAGCCACTCTGCGGAGCCTGCGAGCTGGTGACCGAAACCACGGCCAAAGTTCCTGTGTGTCTTCCTTCCTCTTCTCGGGCAGCGCCGCTTCGGACCCGGGCCGCGGGTGGAGAGCGGCCGGGCGGCGGCGCTCAGGCCGCGGAAGCCGACCTTCTCCCGCCGCCTCTTTCCCCGGACCCCGCGCCGCAGGGCTTCCTGCTCGGGCTCACCCTCGCCCGAGCGCGGGGTCCGAAGGCCAGGCGTTCACGGGGGGTAGAAAGCCCTGGGACCCTTGGGGCAGCCGTCCCCGGCCCTGCCCCTCAAGTTCCAAGGGCGGGCCGGTTCTCGGGGCCGTTGGACGGCAGCGGTCAATGGGGAAGGCCTTTTGGGGAGCCGGTACTTATCTGGGGAGAGCGGGAGTCGCCGGAATGGGGGTCACTGTGGAGCGGGCAGGACGAAGGCCTGGGCGCCGAGTGCCACCGGCGCTGCAGGGACCTCCAGCAGCGCAGACCTTGCCCGGCCTGTTCTCCTGTTCCCCACTCTTCTCTGCCTTCCCATGTTTTTCTTCCTTACAATTTAAAAATTTTAAACACCTTTCCCTGGGCTGGGCTCTTTGTGACTCCACTCCTTGTCATGTTTGCAGCCAGAATGGTGAGGGGGAAGTGGTAATTTTGAAAGGGGGGGTGAAGGAAGGAATGTGGGTTAGACGCAAGGTCACAGATCCAGAGGCAGGGCCTACCAAGGTGGGCCAGCCCCAGGCCTGGACACGGGGTGAGGGCTGCCCAGGCATCCACAGCTCTGTTACTCTGGGTGCTGAGTGTGTGTAGAGGGGGCTCTGGTTTCCTGCTTGGGCCAGACCTGAAGGAAAGAGGGACTTAGTTCCCTTTTCTCAAAGAAGAGCTTCTAGATGGACTAAAAATTAGGAAGTAGAGGCATTTTAGTTACTAACAAAAAAAATCATGCTGAGCTGTGTTGGTTTTGAGCAAGGCATTTTTGGGGTTCAGGCTAAGAGATCTGATCAGCCAAATAGAGGGGACCAGCCTACCTCCCCATCCTTAAAAAAAAATGGGTGGGAGTGGGTCAGGCCTTAACTGAACGTTGGAAAATGTTATCAGGAGCTGAATGATGAGTTTGGTGGAGAAAAATCACGGTCAGATCCTCCGTTTCGGTCCATGAGTTTAATGGACAAAGATTATGGAGAAGAGAAACCTCCGTTTCACTCTAAGCTCCTAAGCTAGCCTCTTACATCAGGCTCTTGTGCCAAGTTGCAGGTGACAGTGATGGGCCGCTTGTTCCAAAGAGAACAAAGACTTGGAGGATTGCTTCTCTTTGTGCCCAGAGACTCTCACATCTTCCTTCCCTGGGGACTGCCGTGTGGCTGCAGGCTGGTTTGAGCAGAGCCCCTGGGAATGAAGTTGCCCTTGCTGGATGGTCATATTACAACAGCGAGACCACTTAGGACTCTCTGCGTGGGCCCCTTGTCCATCTCTTCCCCAATCTCCTCCTTCTCCTCTTTTCTGGGAGTCTCCCCAAGTCCACTACTCGAGGAAGGAATGTCCATCTGGAACTTCACAGACTGTAAGCTGGAGCCGGGTCTCCTGGCATCACCTAGATCCCTGAGGGGCCTGAGCTGCAGGGATCCAGAGGGCCTTGCTCAGGGCTCCACCAGCACTCCTCATCAGTTTGTTTGTTAAGCAGACATTTGTGAGAGCCGTGTTCATCTCCATTTCTGCAGAAACAGATGGATTTGACAAAGCCCTTGCCCTCAAGGAATCTTTGGTTCTGAGGAGACACACAAGTCCCCAAACTCCCTGGTTGGGGAGATGAAAGCTCTGTGGTTGCCCACATAACGGAGGGAGGATGGAGGGAAGACGAAGGTGACATTTGAGTTGAATCTTGAGAGATAAATGTGGGTGTGTCGGGCTGGGCGTGCCCCGTTGGCCTCTCCTTATTCAGTGTGCGTAAGTCAGAGCTGGGTGATGCTGGGGTGGTGGAAAGGAAGGAGGTAGGGCGAGACATGGGCCAGTGTTGGGCAGTTCTTCCCCTTCCCACCCTGACACGTAGAAAGAGGCTTCTCTCACTTCTTGAGCATCTGCTCTCTTCTTACCTCTGTGCAAGTGAGGCGTGTGGAATACAGCCGTTAACAAGATAGATCCTTTCGGCAGTGACTGGGACATTTGCAGAACCGTAATAGGGAAGGAGAATCAGTGTGTAGTTTCATAAGCAGTAAAGATGGAAATTTAACCTTCCAGGAGGTTCCTTTATTTTATTTTTATTTTTTGGCTGCACCACGGGGCTTGTGGGATCTTAGTTCCTCGACCAGGTATTGAATCCAGGCCCTTGCAGTGAGAGCATGGAGTCCTAACGACTGGACCACCGGGGAATTCCAAGAAGGTTCCTTTACTTAGTAAATATTGAGCACCTACTGTATGCTAGGGCAGTGTGGAAAGCAGAGTAAACCAGACAGGTCAGCTCCTGTTCTCTTTATACTGTAATAGGGAAAGTATTAATCAAATGATTTTAAATATAAAATTATAAACTGGGCAAAAGCTATGAAAGAGAGGTCCTCAGTGTCATAGAGAATTAACTAGGGGGTCTGCCCTGTCTGGGAGGTAAGGATGGGCTTCTCTGAGGAAAGGATATTTGAAGGATGAGGGAACAGTGTTACCAAAAGCAGGAAGAGCACAGACAATGGCTCTGAGGCTGGAGGAAGGAGTAGTGATAATGGTTGGAGGGAAGGAGCAAGGCTGGGAGTGATGTGGGTGAGTCTGGAGAAGTATTCCAAGACTAGACCATCTAGGGTCTGCCAGATAGTGCTGAGGATATGGTCCTTATTCTGAGACTATCCCGGAAGTAATCATGTCGATATCAACCCACCATTGAAGTGATGGTTCTCAACCTGGGGCTGTACAGCCCCCTAGGGGTCGTTTTGGAACTTTGTGGAAGCTTTGTTTGGTTGTCACAGGGATTAGGCTCATATTCAGGATGCATCTTATTCATTTCAGTATAGAACGAAGGCACTGCAAGTACTTATTTACGATTCTAAAGAGGTGAATTGTCAGAAATACGATTGAAGGAGCCTAAGTGGGTGTGTGAGTCGGGGGAGAGTGCCTGAGTTTTCTGGCCAGAGAGAGCATCCTAAAGACTTTCTAGGAGGTCGGAGCAAGTATGGTCTTCCCTTAGACATTCACAGCCGGGATTCCAAATGGAGTCAGACTTTGGGGGATCGCAGCCTCCGATATAACCGTGAATAGACCTGTGAGTGGAGGATGAGCTAGCATAGCCCAGAATGGCCCACCCCTCCGTGTTCTGTTTCAGATCATTTGGTTCCCAAATGCAGCCTGCACCCCCATGCCCTGTTTCCTGGAAGCTGCAGAGTTAAGGGCAGCAAAGAACCTCACTGTCTAGAGTCTTTGACCCCAACCCAATCCCGATCCAAGAACAAGAAACTGCTGTCTATCAATGGTCAAACAAATAAAAATGATAAGACATAAGTTATGGGCTTTATTCCCAATAACAGAAGTAATGCTTGCTCATTGTAGAAACTTTGAGAAACACAGGGAAGAAACTAGAGTCTCCCACTCCCTCTCCCCCAAGATTGATATTTAAAGTAAGATTTTCTACTATTTCATAGGAGAGAGATAATTTGTGGTTGTTGGTTTTGTTTTGGTTTTACAAAAGAAGGGTGATACTCTACAGTTTGTAAAATGCTTTTTTTGCTTAATATGTGATGAATGATTTCTCGTGTCACTTAAGATTTGTTCGCAATTAGGTTTTCAGTAGCGTTTTTATAGCCAGTCACAAATGTCCCTTAATCTGTGTGACCAGCCCCCTCCCCCTTTTTGTGGCTCAAGAAGCTTCCAGTTCTGCCCATTCACGAACAAGACAGTGATGAACTCCCCTGTAGAGAAGTTTTGGTGTGCAAAGCCGTAAATACTTCCCAGGGATAAATGGCCCTCACCTTTCACAGAGAGAGGAATGGAGCGCCTCTTGCCCTGCTGGGCATGCTGGCATTAAACAACTGTCTAGACTTGTTAACATCTAGAAATCAATGGTTGTCCCTTTATAGCCAAATGTGATAGTAGTAACATTTTAAGTCATAGTAGTATTTTTGGTGTCTGATGGTTTGGAAAAGGAACAGTGACATGGGTGGACTGGGAAATTTCGTAATGCTTTTATTTTATTTTTTTAGAGGTTAATAAGAAAAGATTTATTTCTTCAGAGTTTATATCAGTCATTGGTTGCTGGTGTGAAAATATATCTTTTTCACAAGTCACACGGTGCAAGGCTGATGGAGTCACCACTGTGACTTTGGGACACCTTCTATGACACATGCCTTCTTCAACTGAAATCAAAGAAGATAATAAGCACATAAGGATCTTACAGGTTCTCTTTTATTCTTCGGCTCAAAGGTGATACCATTGGTCAGAAGCAGCCGCATGTCCTTTCCAAAAGCAAGGGGTCTTGGAGAAATCATCTTCTGTATGTCCAGTATGAAATGAGAACTGTATAACGTCTACTGCAGCCTTTCTTTTCATCAAATACTTTTTTTTTTTTGCGGTACGCGGGCCTCCCACTGTTGTGGCCTCTCCCGTTGTGGAGCACAGGCTCCAGACTTGCAGGCTCAGTGGCCATGGCTCACGGGCCCAGCCGCTCCACGGCATGTGGGATCTTCCCAGACCGGGGCACGAACCCGCGTCCCCTGCATCGGCAGGCGGACTTTCAACCACTGCACCACCACGAAAGCCCATCATCAAACACTTTTAAAGGCACTTGTATTTAAGCTATGGCAATAGCCGCGTAC